TTCCTTTAAGAATTTAGTTTCATAAGTTCATTATCAAGATTTTTATATAGATAAACTAAATAGAGGAACTATGAGGTTTTGAAGATCTCCCTTCTTCTTTCTATGCTTCCCAAGTGCACAGGGATTTTTGTTGGTTGTTAATTCAAAGTTGGGAAGCTAAGAATCAAGGTTGGATCATGCAGACCTTCTCAATGTTAGCTTAGATCTCAAAACTGTTTCTCTTTCCTTCTCCCTTGTTTTCTTTAGATTTGAGGTAAGGGAAGTTAGATTCTTAGTTCTTCTTTGATTGTTTGGTTGCTCGCTGGCTGATTGTGTGATATGGGTGCTAAATAGTTACAATTATGTTGAAATTGCATGATTTTTTAATGGTGATAGTTGAACTTGGTTGTCTTTGGTTTTCAAGAGAAGAACTTGATAATCTTGAGTAATGGTTGTTGCATGTGTTATATCTTGTTGGAAATGAGTTGCTAGTGATGTATATATATGGAATGTTGCAATGCATGCTTGGTATCTTCTAGTTTTCAGGTGGTTTGAGACAATTTCATGAATTTACAAGTGTAGAATTCACCATCACGTCGAGTGTGCCTTCATGACATCAAATGTGACTTGAATAAGGGATCCTTAGTCTTATTCACGTTGGGTGCATGATTGGTGGCGTTGGGAATGAGGAGAGAAAATTGTCTCTAACTTGGTCACTCTGAACATTAAGTTGAATGGTGTTAGGTGTGGGTGAGATAGAGAGTTTTATGTCTCAATGACGTTAGACATAAGGTGTATGGCATCAGGTGTGAAATGCATTATGAAACTTGTTGCTTGCTTGATAAAATGGTGAAGATGGATAGGTTATGTAACAACTCAAACACACTAGAATGAGAGGAATCTAGAGATTTGTACATGTGTGAGACTGTACAGTTAAGGATGACTTAAAAAAATTAATTTGTACTACCTGTACTAATAAGATGCATATACTTTTTGATAACTCATCACATAAGAATGTCATAGTTAAACGTGTTTAACTTTGAACAATTTAGGGATGGGTGACCTTCTATAGAGATAAAGTAGTATGTGATGATTATGTTGTGAGTAGTTAGTTGACAAGTAGAAATGAGTTATAAGTTGTGTGGTTGCAAAGTTATATATTGATTGTGTAGTTGTGTAGAATATACAATGTGTTGTTGAGATGTATGATGACTAAATAGTTGAATATAGTGATGATTTAGTTGTGAGATGTAGAGTTGCATGTTAATTTCATTGTTGTGTTGAATATGTAAAAAATTGTCATGTTGTTGAGTTGTGTTGACCACTTAGAACTAGAGGAAAGGTTTTCAAAAATTGCATATCCCATTGTGTGGATAATTCTATGGTTTTGAGAGCCCAATTTGTTAAAAACCCTTTTTGAGAAGTTGACTTTTAAAATGGATAATTGTATTGTATCTCCTTTAGGACTTTGCTGGTACCGTGTATGGGTAAGGTCGGAACACACATGTATGAAGCGACCATAACATATGTGTCAGGTTGAGTTATACTGATTACAAGTTATCAACCGAGTTAAGTACGAAATCGAGAACTTATTTCCTAATCAAGTGGAAGGACATAGTATTTAGAGGATAGTCTGTCTACTCCCATAAAAGGCTTGGTTAAGCTAACTAATATCGTGATAGACCCATACCTAATTGTTCTACCTTAACAGTAGCATTATACTTTTTTGTTTAAGTAGTGACATCCAAGAAATCGAGTTGTTGGGTTGTGAATTTATATCCAATTTGTTATTGATCTAGCAAGCCCAAAAAAATCACCTTGTGTTGTATAAGATATCCTATTTGAAATGCGTAAAAACGTATATATAGTTGTTGTGTTGAAAATACTGCATATTTGTGATGATTAACCTGTGTTGAGAATGTTGTGGTGCTAAGTTGATGTATATTGTTGTAAATTGAGTTCTTATGTTGATATGCGTGGTTTACTATGATGCCTAGGGTTGTTCAATATTGTAGATGAGACGATGATGTGATGGTGTAATTAAGTTGTTGATATTCTGTATTAAACATATATTATTTCTATTTACTCTAGCTTACCTTGTGTGTTTCCATGTAATTTGAGCTACGGTAATCATACATGATATGAGAACATGACAAAGATAGGATTGGAGTGTAGTTGTAGAGGCCACCCAGTGGCATTGGAATTGGATGCCTTTTTGATGACTACCTAGTAGTGGTAAATTTGTAAAGACAATTGTAGTTACTTAACCAACAACTTAATTGTATATTTACATTTACTAGATTACTGTATGTATATTGGATACATTTATTTAGTTTTTTCATCTTTATCTTTGTGACATAGTACATACTCTAGTATCTGTAAGTATATAATCTTAAGTTAATTGTTCTTTGTTGCTAGTTTCTATGTCAATTAGTGTAGGGATCAATGTGAGTTGTTACACAATCAGTATTCTTTCCTTTTAAGGCTATCGGGATGTCCTCAATGAGGTGGTCTAAGATCTATCTAGTACATAAGCTCCCAAGTCTTCAACTCCTTGGAAGAAGAGTTTATTTTCAAATAGATTATCTTTTTGACGAGAAAAAAATTTGTTCTTTACCTCAAATTTTGAAATTGTTTTGATATGTCATCGTCTCAAGATGTTTAATTAACGGCAAGGTCACTTCAAAAATGTAATGATGATATATCGATTATTACAAAAAGTCTTGAAGACTTAAACTTTATAATAAATCATTTTTATTGAGCTAACATGAACCATTTTAGCTTTTGGAGACTCAGATGATATGATGAATGAAACATTTTGAAAAACATTTGTTTCATTTTATTTTGCCTATTCAATTTTTTTAAAAAGTTTTTGTGAAAATATTTATCTGATTTAGCTGTTCATATTTTAACTTTAATTAACTTTGTTTATTTTTAGTGGTTTAGCTTTAATCCTATAAATGAGGTGAACATTTTCCTTCATTCTAATGTTTGTTCTTGGTTAAATAAAATAAGATGAAAAAAGAACAAAGAGAATGAAAATAGAATAAAAATCTTCGTTTTACTCATTTGGTCTATAACAGAAACAAAAAACGAGATAATTTTTTAAGATGAGAGTGGCAAAAAGTTTCTGTCCTCACATGAAGAGATTTGTCCTAGTTTCCGTGAAAAATTCACAAACCTTTTTAAGTTTTATTCTTCATTTATGATATTTGTCTTCTTTAGGTAAAAGTAATTTTTTTTACACATATTTTTCTTCTTTTTTAATCTTCTCTCATTTAAATAAAAAAATATATTCTCATTTTAGCTATCAAAATAATATATTTTATTATATTTTCCCACATTTCTTTATTTGCTAAAACAAAACAGACAGAATATTTATTATGTTTTTCTAAAAAGAGAATCCAAGAGAAAAACGTAAATAAAAATTCTAGATGAAGCTATCCTAATTCTCAACTTTATTTTGTTCTCTTTTATACACTGATTATGATATTCTCATATCAATCTTATAGATTTGCATCATAATTAAGTTCACATTTAAAAAAATTTAACATGAAATAATAATTATGAACAAAATAAGTATACATGATAAAGAAAGCATGAAAACACCATTATATCTTTTATTCACCTTATACAGTATACCCGATCGAGACAGGTCTCTCAGGTCAAAATGATTATAGTAAGTAATTACACTTTGAAAATCTGTCTTTCTCTGTATATATTATAATAATGTTTTGAATCTACGTGGTCCATTGAAATTGAACACCCCAAAAGGTGAAATAATTTCCATCGACAACCAAATCTTGTTTAAATGAAGAGATGCCAAAGCTTTAGCATATGTTATTTACCTAGTATGCATCTTGGTGAATAGGGTATGGGATTGGCATGACCATGAACATGAACATGACCCCATAAAATGTGTGTGCCAAACAAGTAACCTAGGAACCCCGGAAATTCTGAAAAATAAAAAGAATAAATAAAGGTGGGATAGGGTACGTGACCTCATGCAATCGTGAAGGTGCACCAATAGTTGCATTTATGAAATGATGATAGCCTAACTGATAAAATAAGGCGTGGGTCAGTGTCCCATTTCATGATCAAGTCAAAATGCACATAACATAACGTTACTTACATCAAATAAAACTACCAAACAAACAACCATGCTTTTGTTTTTCCCGTGTACCACACCACCTCTCTCTGATCTACCATTTCGCTTCCCTTTTCTATAGTACCTTAAGAACCCCACTTTTTTCTCCTTCCATTTTTTCTTCTCTTAACAAGCTGTTTTTAAACTTTTTCAAAACTATTAGAAATCGCCTTTAAAAGAATATCAATGAACTTATTGTGTTAGATCCCAAGTTTGGGTATTATAAATAAAAAATATGTGATTGAGAAATTTATTTTTAATAAATCAAAATATTTCTTAGTTAAAAATTAAAGACTTTTTCATGAACATCAAATCTCTAACTATATACTTAAGAGATAGTGTTATCTTCCAACTATGCTATATTTTGTTCTTACATGTAACTAACATATAATACCTCAATAATATGATCAGTAAGGTTATTTTTAACAAAAATTAGTTACTAATCATACATACTTCTTCTTAATGATATATCTGAAAACTATGGCATCAAATATATGATATTTTTTAGGGCAATCAAATATATATATGTTAGTAGTTTTAAAATAATGATTAATGTTAAGAAACCCGGAAAGGATGATGTGGGAGTTGGATTAATTGCCTACTATTTCCACAAGATGCGTGTATTTTTTTATTAGGATATGGCATGATTAGCGGGAAGCATTTCATGTAGAAGATTAATTAGGGTCCTTTTTTAGGTAGCTTCCTAGCTCCCACTTTTTTCTCCTGTTCAGAGTAGATAATTAATACTGGTCCGTATTTATTTACTGCTCCTCTTAATCAATAAATTAACATGTAGTAATATCTATATATCTATATATATATATTTATCGAATTTAATTTAATTATTACATGGCCTGGGGGGTCGTGTCACGAGTGACGATCGGATCAGTACAAAATGTGCTTGCTTATGTTATGTTGGCTCGTATTTGTTTCATAAGCAGAGTTAGTATTGGAAGCAGCGAGAGAGAGAGTGTGTGTGAGAGAGAGATATGAATTAGAATAGAGAGAAAGCGAAAACGAAAACGAAAACGAAAACGAAAAGGAGAGGTGTTATTATTGTGAGTTGTGGTGTGCACCAACACCAAGCATAGCAAGCAAAGTGGCCATAGAATTCACGCTGGTTTCTCGGGATTCTTAATTTTCTTCTTCTTCTATTTTTTCTTCTCTTTTTTGCCCCCAACAAGGAGGAGGTACTTGTCATTGCTTCTTCCAAAGCTCTCCCTTTGATCTCACGCCTCTCCCCAATGTTTCACTCTTTCGTGTTGCTTCCTGCATTGATCTAAATGGGATTTTGTTTTTCCTTTCTCAATTTCCATTGGGGTACGTTAGATTGCTTTTTTTCTTTTCTTTTCCTTTTTCCTTTTTTAACAAAATGAGCTTGCGCTTTTTATGACTCGTTTCTGGGTTTCGATTGGGACGGCCAGCGAAGGCCATTTTTATTTATTTTTTACTTTTTACGAAAATTACCATTAACTGTTTATGATTCGCTTCTGGATTGCGATTTCGTAACACAATGGCGCTGTTTTTTGTTTTCTTTTGTTTTCTTTTAAAAATGGAAAACGAGCTTACGCTTTAATGAGAGGCTAATTAATGTTGATGGAAGTAGCTGCAAGTGTTATCCACCAACCTATGTTCTCTACTTCAACTTTAACTTCTTCGAATCTTGTTCTTTCCGAGTTCAGACTTGCAATTATAACTCAATTTTTCGGGCTATAATTCAAATCTTTCGTGGGTACGTTTGCATTTCAATATTGGGTCGGTGATGGATCTGGTGGTGTGAATTAGTTAATGGTCTACCTTCCCTTTATTCCCATGTTTTTTAATTTTCTGAATAGGAAGATTGTTTTGTTTACTTCCTGTTGCTGGATTGGTGTTTTAAATTGTTTCTATTCTTATTACTGCTTTGTTGTATTTTAAATGAACCCCGTCATTTTCCATTTTTTATGTTAGGTTTGTGTTTGCTGAACTGGAGGCGGATTCACCCAATGATTTTCTCTACACAAATCAGAATGACGTTGGAATAACGAACTTTGATTGGTTTCTGGGTGTATTCATAAAGGATTTGCACACTAGGCATTGAGCTTATTGGTTAGAGAATGTCCAGGCCTCTGCACAGAGGGGCATCTGGGATTCGGATCCCTGATAGCAACTATGACTTGTGGGACTCGCAATCCAAAGATAAAGCAGAAAAGGAAGGTTTGGATAGAAGAGGTTCCTCTGGCCTCAGCCCCTCACCCTTGAGGTCTCCCTTTAGGTTGCTTTTACCAGAAAATTCTCATTCCAAATATGGTGTCACTGAGAATGGATTCTCATCTGATCCCTTCATCATTGGCACCCCAAGAAGTAGGCATAAGTTGGTTCTTCTTTTCTTGAAGTTTAGTTTAGTGTTTATAGTTATTCTTGCTCTTGCTGGATCTTTTTGGTGGACAATCTCAATCTCAACTGCATCGAGAGGTCACATATACCACGGTTATAGAAGACTCCAAGAGCAACTTGTATCGGACCTATTGGAGATCGGGGAGATTTCTTATGCTCCCTCAAGGCTGAAAGAGTTGGAATTCTGTTCTCAGGAGTTTGAAAATTATGTTCCTTGCTTTAATGTTTCTGACAATCTAGCTCTTGGTTTTTCTGATGGCAACGAGTTTGACCGGCAATGCAGCCATGAGCTCAGGCAAAATTGTTTAGTTTTCTCACCAGCAAATTACAAAATTCCTCTTAGGTGGCCTACTGGGAGGGATATTATTTGGGTTGCTAATGTTAAAATCACTGCACAGGAGGTTCTTTCTTCTGGAAGCTTGACCAAAAGGTGAGTGAGTGGTATGATACATCTCTTCTACTTGCTGTCATACCTTTTGCTGTTGTTTCAGCTAAAATGTTTGTGTTTTCTTGGTTACAGGATGATGATGCTTGATGAAGAGCAAATTTCCTTTCGTTCAGCCTCTCTTATGTTTGATGGTGTTGAAGACTACTCGCATCAAATTGCAGAAATGATTGGACTCAGAAATGAATCTAACTTCATACAAGCTGGGGTAAATTAATATTTATTCTCCAATGAAAATGGTGTAGTTGTGGATTTGTTACTTTATTTTTTGTGGTGGCCCTCATCAACTATAGTCACATTTGACTAATTTAGTGCTCGTTAGTTATAAAATTGAACATACTTAACTTCATCTACTTTGCTTAATTTTGATAAATGGGCGGGTATCTGTATTGACTTTAAGCTCACCGCCTACTCTTTCTTCGGGACATAATTAACTCTTTTTGGGTACTTACTCTAATGGTACTAATATTACAAATATTTAGATACCATCAATGTTGTCAATATTGCGAGTTACCTTTTGGAATTAACAATCTTGAAGGTATTTTCTGCAATCAATGAAAAAAACCAAAATATGCTCTATTTGCTTGAAATGTTAACCTTATTTAAGAGTCAGAAAATCCTACGGGATTATTGAATAAGCTTTTTTACATTTTTGGCTAAGCAGCATCTACCCATCTATTTGGTGGGTAATTATAGCCATAATTTTTTTGTACCCTGCATTTGGAGGGTTTGGTGATAGATTTTCTGATAGGTTATGGTGATATTGAATGTGAACTTAGTTCTTATTGTATAATTGCAATATTCCATCCCTGAAATGTTCTTTGATTGAGCATGTTGGAATTCTAAATGTACAGGTTAGAACCATACTGGACATTGACTGTGGCTACGGTAGCTTTGGAGCACACCTCTTTCAAAGTCAGCTTTTAACTATGTGCATTGCAAACTATGAGCCTTCTGGCAGTCAAGTTCAGCTTACACTTGAGAGGGGTCTTCCTGCTATGGTTGCTTCTTTCACTTCAAAACAATTGCCATATCCATCTCTCTCCTTTGACATGATGCATTGTGCAAGATGTGCCATTGATTGGGACCGGAAAGGTATCTTTGAAAACCTACTTCATACTACTTCCTATAGGGTCAATGTGGTTCTGTCATTCTATGCATTCATTCAACAACTCCAAAGAAAGTATTTATTGTGGATGTCATTGGAAGGAGGAGTTAGATAACTGAAAATAAGAAGAAAAAAAAAAATCATTCTTATAGACTTATAGTACTTATCCATTCTGTTTCTTTAGTTATGCTCTTTTATTTTTACATATCTCTCAGGAATTGATCGTTGAGGGCTGGTTGTCTCTTGTGGTATTGCATTGTTTCACAAGTGAGCTTAGACCATCAATCAACACTCTTTTGGAACCAAGGATAAATATTAACTGTTGAATGTCCTATTCCATTTATTTTCCCATTTTGATCCAAGTAATTTTATTTTTTGCAATTTTGTACACTGTTCATGACTTCATATGCCTACATCACTGTTTGGGAACCAAGAAAAAATATTTATTTATACGGACTGCTAAGTTGTTTCTGGTTTTTCCAACTAAGCCTAATTTGCTTTTCTCATTTTTCTTAAAAGTATTGCCCTATCCATTATGATGCTTGCACTGACAATCTTCCACATGAGATGCTGCAAGTCCTGCTGTACACTCCAGGGAAAAAAAAATTTTAATTCAGTTATTTGTTACAGGAAGTTTCCCAAAAATTGTCTGTTTGGAACCATCTCACATGTCTGCATGAATTTCATCCATCAAGCTGCCTCTATTTCATATTATTATTCCTTTTTCAAAGTTTAAACTTAAGAATCTAAAATTTTAGTTGAGTTTAAAACAAAAGCTTCAATTTTTCTGCATTTATTAATGTAGTAGTACCTTGTGGTCAGTGTGGTGAATTCGCTGAATATATTGATCTTATTTACATTCATATTACTTGGTATAGATGGCATTCTCTTGATTGAAGCTGATAGACTTTTAAGACCGGGGGGATATTTTGTCTGGACTTCACCGCTTACAAATGCTCGTGACAAAGACAGTCAGAAAAGATGGAAATTCATACAAGATTTTACCGAAAACCTTTGTTGGAATATGCTGTCACAGCAAGATGAAACTGTAGTATGGAAGAAAACTAGTAAAAGGAAGTGCTATAGCTCAAGGTAGTGCTGCTGTGCCTTGTATTTGACAAAAAAGGTTTTAACTACGTATATCCTGGGAAGCAGATTTCTAGTAACTAAGGATCTATGTTATATGTATATGCATTTGTTTACTGCATAAAATTTTATAAATGTACCTGATTCTTTGCATTACCTGTCTGTTTGTATTTCCAGAAAGAATAGTTCTCCCCCTCCTTTGTGTGGCAGAAGCTATGATGTGGAGTCTCCATATTATCGAGAACTGCAAAATTGCATCGGAGGAACACATAGCGGCCGTTGGATTTCTGTTGAAGAGAGGGAAACTTGGCCTTCCAGAGATCATTTGAACAAGAAAGAGCTTGCAATCTATGGTAATTTCTATATTCTTTAGTATTGACATATAGATTTCTCTTAATAGGAGAATTTCACTGTACTGTGTCACTGGAACGAAATCTCCAATCCAGTAGGTTATCTTAATGTGCATATATTTACTTGCTTTAGGGTTGCAATCTGATGAATTTGCTGAGGACTCTGAAAGCTGGAGAGCAGCAGTCCGTAATTATTGGTCTCTTCTGTCACCTTTAATATTTTCTGATCATCCAAAGAGACCTGGTGATGAGGACCCTCCACCACCTTATAACATGCTAAGAAATGTGCTAGACATGAATGCTCATTTTGGTGGTTTTAATTCTGCGTTGTTGCAAGCTGGAAAATCTGTATGGGTAATGAATGTGGTCCCTGTGAGTGCACCCAACTATCTTCCCTTGATCCAGGACCGAGGTTATGTTGGCGTTCTGCATGATTGGTATTTTAATCTCCTCTATCTTATTTTAGAATTTCATGATTATTTGTTTGCCTTTTTTTTTGTTTTGTTTTTTTGCTTGGCTGAATGTAAATTCTCGTCCATCTGATAAATTTTCCGTTCTTCCTTAACTTTTTCAATTTTGCTTTATTGTCCTGATACCTTCCAAATATATTGAATTATTGATTTCCTTATGTAAAATATAAGCATCAATGCCTTGATCTAGGTTGTATACTTATTTAAGTTTTGGTGAAGGATATAAATATTCTTAATGTGCTTTAGTTTTGTTTGACGTAAAATAATAAATAATTGAAATGTCGGACTTTTTTTTAAGAACAATATAGTAATACAATTTGTCAAAAATAAACAATATGGTAATACAACAATAATGAAAGCCTTATCCCACTCAATAATGTTGGCTACATGGATCATAGGATGCAATTGGGCTCATTTGAAGACCAAATCCTACCATGACATTACTGTTATCAACTCCCTCCAATCTCCTTCTTGGTTTTCCTGCCCCCTTTTCACATGACTAAAAACCATGCAATTTACATTTTTCACCGGTGCTCTTAGTGACCTTTGTATGTGTCTAAAACACCTGAACTGCTTTTATGTCATCTGGCATCATACCGATATCTTCTCATATATAATCATCAATCTTCTCCTTTTTGTATGGCCACACATCTATCTTAACATTTGTAATAATGATCCTAGATATTTGAACTTCAAAACTTGTGGCTTGACATCTGTTGGGAATTAATAGATCTAGTTCCCACCTTTGTAAACGCAAAATAGGCACTATGTGGAAGCATAAAATAAGAATAAAGAGTAGAAGAATAACCCAAATTTTATATGAAAAACCTTCTCAATGTGATTAAGGAGAAACCACGCGACTAGTTCAGTAAAATATCTCCATTATAAAAGTAGGATTATAAACAGACTCTCTTTCTCAAGAGGATCACTCAAAGAATCTCATGCTTCTCAATGACTATCTCTCATTTCTCACCAAGTTGGTGGAAACAACTCTCTCTTTCTCTCAAAGAGAAATAGAGGAACTTTCTCATTCCTCTCCTCTTTTTTCTCTCAGAGGATTCTAGAATGGATGGGACAAAATCAACCATGACTCCCACTGGGTGGTAACCCCTTCGTCTAGGTGGTAATTACTCTCATCACAAGTCTCAAGTTATAGTGGATGACATGACCCTTCATTCATTACTCTCCATTCATGGCTCTTTATTCACCATTGGAAATTTTGGATTGATTTCCCAACAATTCCTCTCAATTAAAATTTCCAAATATTCATATTCACAATATTTTTACATCATGTTTCCACTCTTCAAACTTTGGTGTACTCTTACCAAACCTTTAATGTCAATATTCCTCGACCAATATTTGAGGTGACACTTTTTGTACTTTCACCTTTGTTAGCTTCCAGGACATTCCACTTGACTCACTCATCAAGAAGACTTTTGACACAAAAATTGCACCACTATTAGCTACTAGGACACACTGCTTGATCCCTCCATCTTGAGTTACAAGGGCTAAGAGCTCCCCCAACTAGGCAAGCTCTAATACCACTGTTGGAAATTAACAAATCTAGTGTCCACTTTTGTGAACGCAAACTAGGCACTATGCGGAAGCACAAAATAAGAATAAGGAGCAAGAAAATAACACCAGAATTTTTACGTGGAAAACCTACTCAATGTTAGTAAGGAAAAACTACGGGACTTAGTCCAGTAAAAGATATCTACTTTGAAAGTAGAATTACAAATAGTCTTTCTTTTTCAAGAAAATCACTCAAAGAATCTCACCCTTCTCGATGACTATATCTCAATTCACACCAAGTGCGATGGAAACAACACTCTCTTTCTGTTAGAGAGGAATACATGAACTCTACTCTCTCTCAAAGCGGATTTTAGAATGGATTGGATGGGATCAACCATGACCCCCACTAGCTGGTGACCCCCTCTTCTAGGTGGCAACTACTCTTATCACAAGTCTATCTATTTATAGGGAATGACATGTTTCTTCATTTATGGCTCTCCATTCATGGCTCCTCTTATTTTCACTTCCAAGTTATTTTCCTCTTGTTTCTTGGAAAATAAATTTAATGAAATAGTGAAGCTTGTACCAGTCAAGAACTGATTCAACCTATTAGATTTCATAAACCGCATCCGAAGAATTGAGTTAAGATGCTAGGTGAGAGCAGTTGAATGATGTATATCTGTAACATTCCCTTAATGCAAGAGCTATTTGGGCTTAAGCATGAACAGTGCACAACTTTACTTCACTCAATGCTAAAATTTAATTGAATTGAGAACAGAAGCAGCAAGGATTGAATTCACAATCACTTGGAGGCCATGTCATGGATTAACTCATCTTAAAACTTAAGCTATTAAATGGAGCGTCAGAAATGGTTTTATATCTCTAAACTTTATGATATGTTGCAGCTTAAATTAAATATTCTAAACTTATCTGCCTTGTGGAAAGGACATTGTTAATTGTTTTTACATTTTAGATTATGATTGTGAACTATTGCCACTACTTATAGACTTCTTACAATTCGGATCTTCTGTGGTTTCTAGGTGTGAGGCCTTTCCAACGTACCCTAGAACCTATGACTTGGTGCACGCAGCAGGACTTTTATCCCTTGAATCTGCTCAGCAGCGCCGATGTACCATGCTTGACATGTTCATCGAAATTGACAGGTTACTGCGCCCAGAGGTATGTAAATGTACTCTGGGCTTTACTTTTCATTTGTGGTCCTTTTCCTCTTACATTTGTGTTTTTCTATTCACTTCATTTGATATTACGAGGTATAAATATATAAAGATATGAGCATAACTGAAGCCTTTTTTATTCAACGCTAGTTGGAGTAAGGATAACCTTTTTAAAACCTTAAACTCCTAACAAAGGAAGGAGTACTATAGATTTCGCTTTGGTGGAGCTTTATTGTCATGCACTAATGTAATATATTCTGTTTCTTTGTTGAATCAAAGTATAATGGCCTGGATTTGAGCATATAATCTAATACTAACATGATAGCATGAGTTGGTGGATATTATTCCCTGCCTCTTTTGAGCCTCGTTAATGTTTTCCATTTCTTGAGCAATGATGCTAGTTGTAAAATTTTACCATGAGCGTGATATAGAACATGTGTTACGTATGAATCCAATCGTGATTTGTATAGTCAGTTCAATGTCCATTTGTACACGTGTCATGTAGCTTATACTCTAAAATGCCTGTACTTCTGAAGACAGCAGTTGCCAAGTTCGTCTTTATTGTCAGCTGTGAAAGCTAGAACTTTTTTTTTCTTCTTCTTCAGTGAAAGCAGAAAGCTAAAATGTTATTTTTGGTGCCAAGTATAAAAATAATAAAAATAAACTCACCTTAGTTCCTAATTGTATGAAGCTGCTAAGCATCATGCAATAAAGAAATAACAGATTTGCAGGAGGCTCTCACCAGATTGCTACTTTCCTTTGAATTGACTTTGGATATGCTAATAATAATGGTCATGTGTGCAGGGTTGGATTATAATTCGTGACACAGTTCCTTTAGTAGAGTCAGCAAGAGCTCTAACAACAAGGCTAAAATGGGATGCGCGAGTTGTAGAAATTGAAAGTGACAGCGATCAGAGACTCCTGATCTGTCAGAAACCTTTCTTTAAGAAACAGGCAAATTAATTCATTCAAATCCAGAAGAAATTAGACCATAATATTCTTATATTCATTTTCATAATGTTCATTTATTATCATAATGCTCCGCCATAGAAAGTGGGGATTGAAATTTTTGGACAGAAAAAAGCCGGAAAAACCATTAGAGGAAACAGTGAATTCTCGTCAATGATACCGCCACAACTCCTATGTAGCCGTAAGGTATATGCATAGGGCCTTGTAATTATCAAACGAGGAGCAGAGCAGATGAAGAAGTATACTGGTAGATTTGATTTTTCATGTGATTTGGTCTCAGTCTGATTACAGTTACACAGACACATGATAGAATAAGTTATATTTATGTTTGCTGTGGTGTATAAAATGCTCAGCGGTTCATTCCCCCATATTCGTATAGAATTATTTTTCTGCTCTCATTTCATAGGTTCTTTAACGTCTTCTGTAACGACCCGGCAAAACTATATTTTGATAAATCTTGACAACTTTTATAATGGGAAATCAAAATCACATTCTCCATCTGCCAGTGTAAAATTACCTGACTTCTGGTTGGATGTATTGACACTGTTTAATAGAATATTTGAACTAAACAAAAGTACTGCAAGAATTGGAATTGGTTGCTTTTGTTGGGATTATCCGATATGATTAAAACCTGCAGGCTGCAGTTGTCTTTCCATACTTTGAGAATCAGTTTCTCTATTTTCTCTTCACCTAAACAACTTAAATTGCTTGAGAAGCAAGGAAGTTTACTTTTTGCTGAATTACAATTATAAGTTGTTGAGTTAAATTTTCATGATGTAGCTGTGTTTAAAGCAGTTTACCATCTAAATATTTAGTTGTTTTTTTAAAAAACAATTGTTTTCTCTAAATTAATGAGATCCAAGTTAAACTGGCATGAGGAGACGATTACAATATGTGATCAAAATTTGTCTATAAAACCACTTTAAAAATGGTAGTACATCTGTAATAGCAAAGAATAATAATATAATCGGGCATATGATAATGTGCAGTGTTTATTTTACCTTGCTTTCTGGCTTTGCCAGATTTTCAGGTTAATGACAAAAAAGAAATCATTTGATTTCAAAAATTTAGTGTAGATGGCATGCCTTTCGCCTCATTAAATAGGTGAATTAGTTTTCACTTGAATTACACACTAGCAACAAATTTGTTTTGAATTTTGAATTTTGAATTTTGTTAAATTCAAAAGCGTGTTTGGAAGATGCGATCTTCTCTGGACAAAGTATGTGTCAAGTTATATTTTATAAACATAAGCTTTTGTATCTTTTTACATCAAATACATAAAATAGATATAGAAGCTAATTATATTTGCTTTAATATAACTCGTGTGGATCTTTTACCACGAACAACCAAACATACTTGCATACAGAAACTTGTTTGAAACACGTGTCAATTTATAACTGAAGTTGTCTAGCGGAGGAAGGGATGGATTATGTAATTGAGAAGTCTAATAGATAGCTTACTGTGTGAACACCGAATGTGACCGACCTTAGCTCAGTTGGTAGAGCGGAGGACTGTAGTTAGTAACAGATATCCTTAGGTCGCTGGTTCGAATCCGGCAGGTCGGAGTTTTTTAAATTATTTGTTTCTTTAGTTTTTTTAAAATCCCACTGGCTAATGGCTAATGGCTAATGGCTATGCCTATGCGCATCTAATAACCGTTAATAATTAGCCACAGTTGATCAACGATTCTGGTTGAGATTTCATGGCTTGGCGCTTCTTCTCCTTCCTCTCCAAAATCAAATCCTCTAAAACCCTAAACCCTAATGTTAACCCCTCCTCCACCAAATCCCCATTTTCCACCTCCTTCCTCGTCACCAAAACCCCCAAAAGCCTCAAGAAAAAACGCAAGCCCAAGCCCAGCCCGCGAACCACCCCGGTCCAGACCCAACCCAACCGCATCCACGAACTCGAGCGCATCCTCCACCGCGACGCCCTCCTCCGCTTCGTCACGCGCTCCAAGCTCTTCCTCTCCACCCAGCCGGAGCACGTCCTCCGCCTCGACGACGCCGGCAAGCTCCACCGCGAGCTCGGCTTCCCGCGCGGCCGCAAGGTCTCCCGCTTCATCCGCCGCCACCCCCTCCTCTTCCAAACCTACCGCCACACCGACGGCAAAACCTGGCTCGGCTTCACCGACCTAATGGAGGACCTCCTCGCAGAGGAACACTCCCTCATGGACTCCATGGAACTCAACCGCGTCGAGAAGGTTCGAAAGCTTCTCATGATGTCCGCGCGCCACCGCATCCCCCTCAGCAAGATCCACCACTGCAGAACCCTATTCGGCATCCCCGACGATTTCCGCGATAGGGTTTCCAAGTACCCTAATTTTTTCAACGTCGTCATCGACAACGACCGTAGGAGGGTTCTCGAGTTGGCGAATTGGGACCCTCTTCTTGCCGTGAGCGCGCTCGAGAGGGAGTTCGTGGTTGACGAGGATGGCGCCAAGAGGAAGTTTAGTTTTCCGCTGAAGCATGGTAAGGGTTTGGATTTGGAGGTTGATGATAAGAAGAAGCTTGATTTGCTTAACGCGCTTCCTTTGGTGTCTCCCTATTCCGATGGGTCGAAGTTTGATGCTTGGACGTTGGAGGCGGAGAAGTATAGGGTTGGGGTGGTTCATGAGTTTTTGAGCTTGACGTTGGAGAAGAGGGCGTCGATTCATCACCTTGTGGAGTTTAAGGAGGAGTTTAGTTTGACCAAACATACTTATGAAATGCTGAGGAAGCAGCCACGGGCGTTTTACTTGGCCGGAACTGAGATGAATTGGGCCGTGTTCTTGAAGGATGCGTATGATCGGAATGGGGTGTTGATTGAGAAGGATCCCCAGGTGGTGTTTAATGAGAAGCTCTATAAGTATGCTCAGGTGGATGAGATGGAACCTGGGTCTGATGATAGGGTGGAAGAGCAGCATTTGAGTTGACTTGTTGAGCAACATTTTTGAACACCAAATGTGTTCTGAGAAGCTAAAGGTTTTGAAAGTTGAGAAAGGAAACACCATTTGGAACCCTTCAGTTTATGGGTGATCTATGACTGGAATCAAATGACTTTCTCATAATGGGATGCAGAGAAGAAGGAAGTTTCTTTTCATAATTCAATCTATGCTTGTGGTTGGCTTCACGGGTCCTCTTTGATTCCAAGGAGGAGCAAAGAGGATTGGATAGGAGGGGTGGCAAGGATTTTAGGTTCGTCAACGTTATCATCTTATCTGGTATCTGGGTATACGGGGTTCCATAGTTCAACTTTCTGCCTAGATTTTAGTGTATAATTTTTTCTATGAGATAATCACCTATACACAAAATTTTTTTACATTGGCAACCAATTATATCCTTTTAATTGTATTATGTCACTATAAACAGATTTACTTTTAATAGTGACATGGATATAATTGGTTACCATTGTAAAAAAACTTTATACGAATAATGTATAGGTGATTAACTTTTTTTTTTCATAATTGATCTTAATACCAATACCAAGTTTTTTTTAGTTATTTCAATAAATATAAATATTTTTGCATTATTTCTATCAACAGTTGCTCTATCTTCTGCATGAGATGCATATAAACCTTAGAAAGCAAATCGATTTGTATGTGTCCTAGCTTGTTTCCCTGTTTCCTTTTTTTTTTAAATTGGACTTTGGATCGATAACAATCTATTGAATTTGATTTCCTTGGTTATGAGCTTATTGTATGTGCCTACCCGAATGGATACGGGGGTAGTATTTGTGGTTCAGCAAAAAATTTAAAACTAGGGAATGAGAATAAGTGGATATTATCACAAAGATATTGAAAATTTTAAAAACAATGAAGTATAGAATTGTTGTATAGAAACAATTTTCATACTGTACCTACTCGTGTAAGAAAAAATGTTTAAAAATAGCACAAGTTCTGAATGATGGAAAGTAGCAGTTTGTTTCTGTATTGTATTGGTCGCCTAGTGTCTAAGTAGCCTGATCATCTTGATACTTCATGCCTTTGACACTTAAGTCTAGAAGACTGTGTATCGTACCATTCTTGTGATTAACCGACTTGGCAAATATGTCTCATAAAAAGACGTCTCATAAAAAGACTAAATCGGTTTTTGAACCATTTTCTTCATAAATTGTTGGAATAAGGTTCTATAAGTTACGATATATACATGATAATAATTATAAATATTAATATTTATAGATTTATTAATGACAATAATAATCTAATGTGATTTGTAAGATTATAATAAGAAATAAGAGATATTTATAATATCACCTAGTGTATATATAGGAACTCCTGAGTCTAAAAGAAAATCAAATTTACACTTATTGAATGTTCTCAACTGGGACAATTGTTAGGAAGTTGCATTTCCATAATAGTTTCAATCAGTAACAAGTCAAATAACTAAATAAACTTTGATGTTGCATCCGAACTTTTACTAGGAAGATAAGCGTCAATTGCATTTGCAACCATGTGTACTCAACAAATACTGATATTGCATGCGCAATTATTTAGAAGTAATTCATACATTATTGTACCTTGAAAATGAATAATTGAATGGATGAGTATTTGTGTATCAATGATAACTGACCCCATTTTGAAATTGTTATGGAAATCATAAGCATGCTAGTGATCAACAAAATTTGACAAAAGAACTGCTAGGACTGCTAGGATCCTAGCAATTAGCATCTTGTTCGTACTGAGTTTTAAAAATTTTGGCCACTACTAGTACGTTTATCTGCAACAACGAAAATTCACTTTCGAAGTTTCAAATTGTGCTATTGAAATACGATCCTTGTGAATAGCAGCATTCTAAAAGAAATACCGTAAAACACGCTTGATGTTTTTGGATCTCCATTCAAATGAACCAACGGCTCATTACTTGGCTCGTGGTCAAATCGATGTTGCTTTTGGGAAGCCAACACAACTTTTGACATTCACGAAATTAAATCATATTTCGCGACAATTTGACGATGGAACAATTACAAGTACTCCGAAACCTTAACAAATTCTCAAGTTTCATTTTTTAATTTTTGATGTCCAAAATTGGCCACTACTAATGACAATGCCTGAAGGATTCCAATGACAACTTAAAAATGTTCAAACCGAGTGAGCCAATGCCAAAAGATAAAAGGCTGTCGAAAAACTTCTCCAAATTGAATTCACGAATTTTCAGTTCTTCTGTATTATTCAAATTGTAGTAAAATTGGGAACATATAATTCACAGAAGTTAGTAATAATACAATGCAATGAATCATTGTTTCTTTTATTTTTTATTTGATTTCTAACTAGTATAATTATTGTTTCAGTAATGCTTCAGTTTCACTGTATACGCTTTGACAAGAATAGCAGGCGTGCCTCTTTTTTCGTAGTTTGAATCACGGTGATGATATAAACAAGAAGACTTGTAATAGTATGATAGACAAGTGGAGGAGCTTGAACAAGAGCTCTCACAGAAATCTTGTTTGGCCTCGATTCCTTCAAAATTCAAATAGATGCCACACAGGTAATGGGAGTTTTCTTGCGGTATGTTTCATTTTCAGTTTTAAATTGATTGTTGTGCCTCCTATGAATTGTTCAGTTGCCATGTATTCACTATTCACCCAAGGTTTGGAATTTGGATGATTATGATAGCGACAAGACAACAGTACGTAGGAACAGGCTAGCCAATTACTGTTTTGCATGCGAAGATTGTTCAAGTTTGCAAAAGCCAGATGATGACATCAACTTCCACACATTAAAATTGGAAACAATGAAGACTGCATTACGTCAAGTCTTAAGCCAATAGACTCTCAATGACTAGAGCACTCTCCTTTATGATATAAAACAAACACACAATACTTACAACAATCACAACCAAGCCTTATTCCACAGGGTGGATTACAGGTCGAAGCAAATATTGGCCAAAAGCAAGTTTGAAAAATACCCATCCACTTTATCAAGTCTTAGAAATAGACTGATAAATTGCAATTTTTACAGACAACTAATGATGTTTAGATCGGCTCCTTGACCTGTTCCTGCTTTTATGGGAAACACTAGAAATGCTTCTATGCACAGTGGAGGAACTTGACCCTCCTTGGCCACCACCTTTCTTTAGTGCTCTCCTGTACGAGCTCCGGCTGCTGTTCCCAAGTGCAGCTTTGGCAACACTATCGGTGTGTATTTCTCGTCCCCTTTGAGGCTTGATAGATTGCTTGTTCAGGTACACAAGCTTTGGAAGAAGACCACAAACTGCTTTGCGCAGCTGGTCATCACTGATGTTGCTTTGAATTGGATTTCCAAGCAGATTCAGAGCCTGAAGTGAGTTGTAGTGGGCCACCAGCTGGCCTAACGCTTTGCTTGTCGCAATCTTGTTAAAGCTCAAGTCCAAAACCGTGAGCTTCAAAAACCTGTGTAGCCCCTCAACATCACTTATCTTGTTTCCCGCAAGATATAGCTCTTTAACTAGTGTACAATTTGATAAACCTGATAAAGCACAGTCGATAATTGCATTGTAGAAAATACTGCAAGAAGGCTAAGAAGTTGAAGTAAAAACCTCCATTGAGCATCTGGCAATAAAGAGACTAACCTTGTCCAATTCTTGAGATGCGATTATAACTCAAGTCAAGTACCCGCAGCCGAGTTAATTCTCTGAGGCCCTCAATGGTGCTGATTTTGTTTCTTGACAAATTCAGTGTATGAATACCCTTTGGGAGAAATCCAGGCGTGATGTGAGCTACAAATCAATTAAAATTTTAAAAGGAGTGTCAATGAATTAAGTTAGTATTTTTATTATGATTAAATGATGTTATATTAAGGGTGACTTTCTTCTCTCAAACAAGCTTACCTATGAGATTGCTAGACAAATTGACAGAGCGGAGAGTGGAGAAGTGTGAAATAGAAGGGATGGCTTTTATACCAATGCCTGATATATGAGCTGTAGTTGAGGCTGGGTTCAGGGACTGAACCACAGTGTTGGCATTCAATATCTCTTTTGAAAGATTGGCATCTGGATATCGAGCCAACTGAGCTGTGCTTGAGGATGCTATGAATTGTGGGGTGGCATCAGGAGAAGGTGGGAAGGTAATGCTTCCAATATTGTCATCATCAAAATCATCCTCAGGAGGAGGCTGCTGAATTTCGAGATCTTTCACCCACTCATCCACTCTGCTTAAGGAGGATGATTCTGTTGAGAAAGCCACCCATTGATTTTGTGGCCAAACACCAAAATTTTCTTTCTGAAATCTGCTCCACCTTTGGTTATCAATATTTCCGTGAAAGTGTTCCCCAAAAGATGAGCTCGGAGAGATTGATTCCACATGTCTCAATGCCTTGCCCTGTTTTGGTTCAAGGGTGTCTGAGGAGTACCCACATTGACTATTTAAAGCAGCAACTGTAGGATGTATTTGTGTCGATTTGCTTAACTGAGATCTATGTATATTCCTGTGGCTCCAGAGGAACAACTTCCACCACAATCTTTTACTTCTAGAAGGGAGAACTTGACTTGAAGAATGCCTTTTCAACATCACTCTATCAGCACTGCAGTGAGTCATCACAGACCTGGGGCTTTCTAGATTAACCTTGTGATATGCAGATAATTCCTGCAAATCCTCAAAAGACTGTGACTTAGAGGATGGAAAGAGATGAGAAGTCTCCCTAAGTACATCCCTTCTTTCCAGGTCAGAGCAGGATCGCTTGAGCTTTGGAGAAGCCAAAAAGTCAGCCTTGCCAATCCCAGGATCACTGACATGTCCACTTTGGATTAGATCAACACTCTTTTTGCTGTATTCATGGTCTTGCAATTGAATGTTGGATTGGTTTTCATTTAAACTTGGGTACTTTACCTCTTCATTTGATGGATCACATCCTCCTTTGCTTGCAGCCTCTTCGTGGACTTGGAGATCAAAATCAGAGAACTCCCTCTTGATGGAAGGTGACTCTTCATGCTCATCTTCCCCTTCATAAGCCTCTTCCACTTCCGTCTTCACAGGACTCTCAAGACTCATAACCCTCACATTGCCCTTTGAATTCTTCTGCACACCACAGGGTACTGTAACATCAAGGGTGGCTGGCTTCAAATCATGACTCTCTGGTGAAATCTTTGGGTGCAATACTTGGTCAAGTTGAGCTTTAAGCTCCCCTGTTGAAGACCGTTCAGTACCCTGAGGAAGCAAACAAAAAGCAGGTAAATTATATGGTTTACACCACAAAAAGCAGATAAACAGCTGAGAGATGTTTTCTCATCCTCTTCTTCACAAGTGATGTTTCATGTTGTGAGGCATGAGAGCTTGGTGTGGATGTTTTTTAACTTTTAAAACTAAAAACAGCATTTGAAAATAAAAGCCAAACACACCCAATATCAGTATTCAGTACATATTCGTTACCTTGTTTTTCTCCTTCTTTCCACTCAAAAAAGAGAGACACCCACACAAGGCCATCGCAGAAGATAAAGCTTGGGCAGAATCCTTTTTACTCAAAATCTCCTTTGCGCTTCCAAACTACGTACGAGTCTATATACAATCCAATTGCCGCTCACATCTTGACTGACTCAGTTATATCATAGCAATAACATTGGAGCAAGAGTGAGTCAAAAGTTAACCGTAATCTGTGGGAAGGCGCAGAACAAGGGATAGGAGGCTGTCCAAACAAAACTGCGAACCACAAAAGCAAGGACCAACACCTGCTAAAGTTGGTGAAAATATGGCTAGAGAGTTGGCCAGAGTTGTTGTATATACCTACACGAATATTTGTCTCCGGAAATAGACCTAAAGAGTGGAAGAAAACCAACCAATCATTCAAAATTCAGATAAAACTTGCAGTACTGGAATAAATTCTTTGAAAAACTATTTACGTATGACATCTAGAGTTTGCAACCCATATTGGTGCTGCATCGATCAGATAAGAATATATACTGTTTCAAGGGGTATGCAACAGACACATGGCGATTGTTTGAGGGGTCAAAGGGAACATGAGCTTACCCGACCAAAATGAAGACGCTTCGTGATCGTAACACAGACACTGCCCCACGCATGTAAGGAGGGAACATTTGTGGTCGAAACTCAAAAGGGTGAGATCTGATAATTCTCAAAGGAACGTAGCAGTGTTGTGTGTGAAATGAAGCAAGTAAAACTGGAGGGTGAGTTAGAGGTGGTAACTGGTGAGAGGGAGGGGTATTATTATCATTAATTAATTAATTTAGTATTGAATGGTGGGGTGTAGTTAGAATTTGTTCTGAAAAAACAATGAAAGAGAAACGCGCAATGAACACGGTGTGTTACCAATCAGTGTTGCGGCTGTCGTAATACGAGGCAGTGGCCACTGCATGTGCTCTACTCTTCACAAATCACAACCACAATATCTTATATGACACCCAAATATTATAATATATACTTTGCCAACTGCTGATATTAAATTATTAATATCACGGTCCTTTTCGGGTACCGGCCTACCTCAAAACAATTTTCTTCTTCATTTTTTTTAAGGCATAACCTCCCTTTATAGTTTATTCTGTTCATAAACTGTAACGACTCTCAATTATTTTTCTCCTTTTTTAAAAATTTAATAATGCCGTGTTTCATCGTGTTTTGACAATGATTGTTTTTCAAAACTTAATTGCTTTTCTTATTTGAAAGAAAAACACCTTAAACTTGTAATACTTTTTCTATTTTCAATATAAACTAATGTAATCACTAGAGTCTATCTGATGGAAGAAAATTGGGGTAGTATGAAAGAAATTATATGAATAATATTACAAGGTTTTTGTTTTATGGAATGATATTGTATTTTTGGAAATCATGTTTACTAGAAATAATATAACCTGAAATATTATTCCTAAAAATATAAGAAAACATGTTTGATTCATTTTAATATTTCTATAGATTTTTCTAAATTTTAAAAGAATTTAAATAAAAGTAAATAAAAATGGAAGTTAGAGGAGTTATGGAAAATAATTTTCAATATGTTCATGGAAATATCACTTACAAGACCTCTTCACTATGAGAATTAAACTCTTCTTCTCATGAAAATATCACTTTTTTAAGAATAAAAAAGATATCTAAAATGACCTTCTAATAAACATAAGAATAAATATTTTCACTTTCATAATCTCATAAATAAAAGAAGATAACCCAAAACAAACGTCACCTTGATTTTATTACTTTACACCAAAAAAAACTTTCAATATCAATTAGTAGAAACAGATATTTTATCTTTTCATTTTAATTTATCACAAATAAAAAATGTAATGTTACCGTGGTTTTCATTTTCATTCTCTCAATTACTCTTAATATTTTATCTCCTTTTAAAAATATATATTTCACACACTATCCTAGCAACTAAGTAAAAAAAATATTTCTTCAAAATCATATCAATATATATTCTTTATCTTCGTCTGATTTAATTTAATAATTTTGTAAATAATTGATAAATCAATTTCATATTTATTTTGCACAAGAGTATTTTTAGGTGTTACTTTACAACGGGAGATTTTAAAAAAATATTAACTTCTTATCTAATTAAATTTCATATTTATTTATGAATTAAGTCCTAATATTTTAAAATAAATTATCAATAGATAAAAGTAATTTTGTGGGTAATAAAAATTATTTATCTTAAATTTAAAATATATTTTATATGTCTAAAAAATTTATTTGTATAAATTTTAATTATATATAATATTTATTTATAGATATAATTTATTATAAATTTTAGTTATATATAATAAATATTTAACCTGTGAAATGTACATACTAAAATATTAGTAAAAATAATCTTATAACAATTTAAATTTTTTATTGTATATATAAAATATATTTTAAATATTTACTTATTATAATTTTAAATTTAATACAAGAGTATAGTTATATTTTCAACATATTTATTATGAATTTTAATAATTTAATGATGTAAAAATAAATATTATCTCATATAATGCAAATTCTAAAATATTAATAAATTAATAAATAAATAAAACAATACATGTCTTAAAGGTGAGAGCCATTCTCCCAGTTACACATTATTAATGTTTTCTCTCTTTTCTGCCTTGAATGTGCATTTCATACATTATTTCTACATTTGGTAAAAAATTTATTTCACAAATTTAAATTCTCAAACTATATTTTTTTTAATATTCATCTATATATATATATATATA